AGACCACTGCGGTTCAAAGTGCAAAGTGCAAAAAGGACTTGCCATCGTATGGTCGCGGTGAAGAGTTGGCCTCGCTATACCAGTCAACTTTGTACGATGACTACGAGCGCCTTGAAGCAACCGCGTTCGACCCTGTCCTGCGCTGACTTGGCAAACTTATGCGGACCGCTCGCAGGTGCATGTCTGTTCTTGGGTCGAAGTGAATGGGCAAGAGCCTTCCTTTCCATGTGTATCTCTCCTTGCCGGGCTTGAGCTTTTTCCTACCCGAGCTAAACATGCGTGTGCACCATGTTTTGTGGTCGTGACCACACGCGTGAATGCCCTTGAGCTCGTCCACCAGCACCTGCGAAGCAAAAATGAAGGTCCGCTGTGTGTGAGCTGATTGCTTCAAGATATTTATTTTCCATATAATGTTGAAAACATTCAATTTTGTGATTACCGAGTATTATTCGTTGAATTACCTTTTCTGCAGTGGTCACTCATACCTTGATTGCTGCTCTGACTTTGTCAGCATCTTTTTGAGATTATCATTCAGTTTTGACATTGAAATTTCTTGGGATGACGTGAGGGACTGGCTGTGGCCCCACTCAATCATGCAAGCAACCATACAGCCCTCGTGTGGGTCCTCAGGACGACACGTAACCTCCAGCTGGTTCCATGGCTTAGCGTAGTGTTCTTCAAAGTAGTGAAGAGTCTCTATGGTGTTGCCTGAGGTAAGCCTCATCTTGGGGCAAAGATGGAGGTCATTGTGCTGGCAGGATATGAAAGCACCTCTAAAGGATTTGAACATCGAACGCCTGCTAAAACAACGCGTCCTCATTACAGGATGCTGGCTACTTGTCGCCTCCAAACCTGTAAGAAGATGCATTGCCATCACCGCCTGTCATGTCCACCTGGTAGTGGAAGCAGACTGCTGTCACAGAGCATAGCATCTTCTCACGTAAGGCTGGGCTGTTCATCTGAATGCTTCCTTCCATCGAATGATCCCACATGTAGCAGTCTATTTCTTTCGTTCTTATATTTCTCATATAATGCCCGGGCTCATGTTCTGATATTGCAAGCGAGCTTCGCACGCAAGCAAAGGCTGCCCGTACAAGGTGTGGTTGGACTTACGCAGCCAATCCTGATAAGACCTCTCTGTGCGGCGTTCGTGCCAATCCTTGGCCAAGATCTTACATCAAGCGCATTGCAGGCACCTCTGCGGCAAAGAGACATAGGAATCCCCCTGTCTTATGGCGTTTTTGAAGTGAAATTTGGGGATGAGCCGCATCGAGAAAGCTAGGAAGGGGCATGCTTTTTCTCCGACAAAAAAAGCCTGGCAGAATCTCCTCATTCACCTGCGTAACCAGTGAGCAATGAAAAAGCCCGGCCTTTCAGGAGAACTCTTAGGCACGATGGCTGCCGACTGTTTCCGCTGCCAGGTGGACATCGTCGCGGGTGATGTAAACATGGCAGCGTACCGTTTTGGAGGAAGCCAGCAGCAATCTTCATCCAATGATGAATCCTTGTTTCAACAGGTTGTCAAATCCTTGAGGCAGTGTTTCGTGTCATGTTAACAGGGTAATCTGCATAAGACACATTATGGAAGGATGTCTAGCCCAAGAGTCGTCTGGAGGTTATGATTATTGCGTGCATGAGGCATTGTTTTCTGGCTTGAAGGATGATGACAGTCATGCCATCTTTTGTTTCAAGTTGAAGCACAACCTGATAAACGCTTCGGGAAAAACGGGAACTTGTTCCGTTCACCACGAAGCTTACCAGAAACATGGTTAGAGAAGAACGCCACATGCGAATCGACAGAAAGGTCGTGCCAAAGGCAAAACGAAGGCCCAGGGCAAAGCAAAAAAAGGTTAAGGGCAACGCCAAGTCAAGCTTGCTAGCGAGCTATGTACCCAAGGCTTTTTCACCAAAAGGTATGCGATTGCTTGGTTCCATCACAAGGTTGCACATGCCATGGGCCTCTTCACCGAGAAGCTAAGGGTGTACTCTCTTGTCTTCTTTCCTGTAGTCTCGCACTGTTTGACTTGAGAAGCAAAAGCTGCCGACAGACGGGACGGTCATGGAACATTAAGCAAATTTGTGCTTGATTGAACTAGGAAAAGTCCTGTCTAGATGCTGTCACGTCTATATGCAGACATGTTGCCGCAACCTCCTGTTGTTGTGCGCCACGTTCTCAAGCTTTTAGGGAGGTTGTGCTCAAATCTTGCACGTCGCGCGTAGAGCAAAAGAGACACCGTATTACCTACCGAGCCGTACTTCTTGAAAGGTTTGGTACGCACGGGTTCAATCCCAGGGGGGGAGGGCCAAAGGTGGTATTGGGGGAGAAGCAAGAAAGGGTTGGCGGCGGCTGTTGCCGAAAATGGAGGACTGCGCCAAGGTGGTGCCGTGCCCAAAACGGGGTCGGCGGATCTCGGGGACCTTAACATCGTTTTCTGTGTATCTTTAGACTTTAGATCTCCCCATCGCTGCAGAAGCTGTGGGGTTCACTTGCTTCCCGAGGTGGCTGTTGAGTGTTCGGACACCAAAGCACTGGCCTGTGGGGCTGTTTGCTGGCCGGCCCCTCGGAGGTTCTAAAGGCTGGCTTTTCAGCCCGGATGCCACCAAGGCTTGTCCTACATCTACATGGTGGCTGCAGGGACCCCAAGGTTGTTGCTACACGCAGCAGTTTTTGCTGACATTTGATGTCCTTCTTCAGATTCGCCGCAGCCTTTTCGCGATGTCGCTGAGGCTTGGGGAGGCTACATCTTCGTAATCAACATGTGGCGTGGCCAGTTTGCGATGCTTAGAACCGCCAAGCAAAGCGTGCTTGCTTCCTGAACATGGTTGGACATCATGCCACGCCGAGAAACATGTACACATTGAGTAACCAACCCGACTTCCCAGAACAATCCGCTCTGGTGGGGATGGTCCATGTTGTTGCGTCAAACTTGGGCAGTCTCACGGGACTTGATGCAAAGGAGCGTCACCAGATGCAAAAATAAATGCTCCAGGTCCTGGGACTCCCATCTTGAGAAACCTCCATGTCAGGGTTGGCATCCACGCAGCGATGTTGGTTGCCCTTGGACGCTTCAACTCCGGTGCCCGGCTTCCCAGAACTTTGATGTGAGAGGGGAGCTTCCAAAAATGAATTCTGTGCACCGGTTTGAGTTGAGACGTCAAGGTGCACAGATAGCTACTGGGCTGACTTGTAGCTTATATAGTGTGTGTCCTTCTTGCGGCACGGCAGCAAGAAAGGGATTCTGATGAACAAAGCTCAAAGATTTCGTCCACGCAGCTTTGACTGTAGCTAAGAAGACGTGGTTGTGCTCCTAGACGTGTGCGTTGTTCAGAAAACGTTGAAGTCATAGCAGCAGGCGCAGTAAGAGTAAGGGAAGTGTGGTGGTGTTGATGGCGTCGCAGCAAGTAGTGTAGAGGTAGCGAAGGAAGATGTGACCAAAACCAGACGTGGACGAATCTGATGGATTGGTTCGAAAATTGAGGGTTTGGTTAGGATGCAGCAGTTCCAGACTCCAGCGGCTGCAGGTCCACAAGGCATACAGCATCTTTTATGTTGTGCGCTCCTCAGATTCTTACCTGCTCTTGGTATAGCAGGTGGCATCATCTTTTGTTCACCCCCTAAACCCTGCACACCCCAAGAATTGGCCAAGAATTGTGACTGAATGTGCAGTTCTAAGGTGGGCATCCTTGGGGCGATGCAGATTCCGGTGGTGGGGCTCCAGCCGCTTCGCTCCGTGGAGCAGCCTGAATCCCCAGCATGTAGCACGTCCAGAGTGGATTCCGTACTGACCCATGTTGTGACGCATTCGTAGTTCTACTTCGAGGAGCGCTCCTGTGCTCCAGGGAGTAGAGCTGCCCATGCTTCCCGCCTAGTGCGACTCTGCTGCTTCGGTTTTCTCATATTTTTGCACTCGACTTACGGTAGCTCTTGTTCTTCGCGCTGAAGGGCACCCTTTCCCTGTGTCGGATTTCCAAGTCAAAGCATTCCGAGGCTTGGGCCACTCATGGTCTTCATGGGCTACCAGGCATGTAGAAGCCTGGATGTTTATTTGAACGCCATCCCATTGTGATTCTGATGTTACATGCAATGGAGTAAATGTCGTCCACGCCCATGCTACTTCGCAGGTGCTTGCTTTCTGCGACTTCCAAAGGAGAAGGCGCGCACAAGAAGCATCTCACTGACAACACCGCATTTCAGGTGAGCCGACCGAGATTGTTGTTGTTGCAGCCAAACTTCAGCAGTCCATAGCTAGAAGATGCACCGACATAGACCATAGCAACTGGTGAGAAAATGCCATCCCATCAATGCGTTCGAGTCACAGGCCAGATGCAGACAGTTTGCGCATGCAGCTGGAAGGCAGAACATGCAGGCCGTGGAGTTTGCCATATACCGGACAAAGGCAAGCTGCTGCCCACTTTGGCCGAGACAGGGGCTGACGGCTACCTGCAGTCCCACAAACTAGGTTCAAAGAAGTACTCTTCTCCAACATGCCGTTTCACGGGCTGTTGTCTGTGCGAGGACTTGAGTAGGGACGCCTAACTGAGGAAGGGCATGTGCAAATTTGCGTGACATATGCACGTCAACAGGTGGTGGCCTTGCTGATCGTGGCCACTCTGATAGTCTGCGCAGCACTGTACCCGACCGGGTGACCCCTGGGCTTTCTTTCAAAGTGCAAGTGAATACGCCGATTGAGCAGTCAAGCTTTTTTCTTTAGCGACTTTAGCGTTAGCGCCCTGGCATTTACCAAATCGCTGCTTAACGGCTTAATCGGCTCGGCTTCGGCTGCGAAAGAAACAACAGATTGGGATGGCTGGCTCTCCGAAGGTACTTTGGCCCCATTTCCTCGAGAATACGAGGGCTGCACCTCCACCAGCACATCATAATGTGAGAATGTGTTTGAGCATGCTAAGACAAGCTACTTGAGCTACTTACGTATTTGTGTGCTTCTTCTGCTGTTCCGCGATTGGGCAAGATGATTGGTACAGCAAAGATTGTAAACTCCTGCTTGTTCTATCTATATAGCGGCTGGGCTGCGGCTTCTCTGCCTCGCAGCTTTCTGGAAAGGTTTGTGAAGCATACAAAGACGGGCAACCCGCTGGTGGACTCTGTTGCAGAACATCAGCCGGCACATGCCCGAGAGACTACAGGGCGTGCTGGGGTACAGGTCACTGGAAGTTTTGGTGCACTCAGGCCAACCCCTCCATGTATGCCAGCTATCTCAACCTTCCCTTGGACTATGCTTTGCTTGGTGGCTTCGTCTGCCCGCGCCTCGGAGCCTCGTGTTCTGTTGCAAGACATTATCAGCATGCGCACTTCTGAGAGACCACTGTTTCAGGCCTCGGCCGCCGCAACAACGGCTTCTTGTTCCTGTGCCTGTACGGTTTCATTGCGCAGCACTTCTCAGGCAAGATGTCTCGCTGGGGCCGAAGCAACAGAATGACGGGCATTGATCAATTGCAGCAAGGAGAGCCAGTCACGGAAGTGCTTAGGATTGGTCCTCATTTGCGGGCCCATCGTCTCCGTAGCTTGCGGGATCTGGTGCCATCGGCTTCGTTGAATTGCCTAGAACTCAACATGACTCTGGGTTTGCGGACGACCTTTCACCAGTTAGGCCCGAGGACCTTTGTCGGACACTCTGTTGCATGCAGACATGAGACATGTCAATGATAATCCAATTCGAACCTGTGACATTCATGGCCATGGCCCATTAGCCCATGGGCCCATGGCTCTTGTGCATAAGTAAGACTAGACCTGGTGTGTGATGTCGACGCTTCTGGAGTGTCTTGCTGCCAAAGCAGCTTTCAGTTTGGCTGAGATTTGAGTGTAGAGGGAGGATGGCATCAGTGCCAGTGGGCAGTCAAGGAAAGAGTTTCAATTCAGGTTCATAGGCCGTGGCGATTACGAGAGCTTCCATGCTTGGCTTTGGCATGAGCAGTGTGGCATCTGTAAGTGTGGTTGCCAGCGGTCTTGTCTGGTGTGTCTAAGATCGCGTGGCACTGCCAGGTGTGGTTTCATTCTCGATCAGTTGATTGAGCCCTTCCTTCTCCTCTTGGGCAAGAAAGGCGTTTGTACTGCCAAAGCAATGTTATGATTGATATGAAGGTGCCCGAAATCGACACTTACAGAGAGACTCACAATATTGGGGGAGGGATTGGAAATTGCTGAAAGGGAATATGCTTGAGGAGCATGCCTCAGCCTACGGGAGTTCAATCGCTGTTCAGGATACACTCCGCCTACACCTGCCCCGAGCGAGGCGGATGTTCTTTCAGTACCAGAGTTGAAGTGGCTATGACCAGACATGAGCGCATGCAGATTTGGTATCAGATGTGTTTTTAGACTCCGACATGCCGTGAACCACAGCATCCAGAGTTTGTCCGTCGGGGATTCTGCTAAACAGCATCCTTTGGCTGCTGCACACTTCGAATTGGGAATTGCTCGGAGACACTGGAACACTTTCATGAAACTGTATTCCGTAGGGTTGGTATGCTAAGTTTCTCTTCTATCCCATGGCTCACAGTGTCTTCTCGCCGCAACGTCCAGCCCCCACCGCCAGAGTTTTTGAGTCGCAACTTTCCAGTCTCAATGCGGGTCATGTTATCTCAGTTCTGCGACTGGGAGTATACACCGAACATCCAACCTTCCCGACGTCACGGAAGTCCAAGATGAGAGTCCAAATCTGGAGCTGGAAATCAGACTTTGAGAGCGCGACCTGAGATTCTAAATTTGGCGTGAGAACTAACATCTGGAGCTGTAGATGACATGCAGGCAGGGACATGCGTTGGGGGCTCCATCCGTGAAAAAAATGGTGGTTTGAGAGGGATCATCATGTCCAGCCTGTGATGACAGTCGGAGGAGTTCCTAGTAGGTGGTGGTGTGGTCTTGCAGATCCCTGTTTGCGCAAGTTCCTATGGGCAGAATGCTGTCTCAGGTTGCAAGACATTTTGCACAAACCTGGAATGCCATCAAAAGGGAGGAAATGCCTCGGAAACTCAAACGTCCGTTTTGAGAGTGCTGTTCTGGAGAGGAACCAACGTATACAGCATGGGTGACAACATCAAAAACGGTAATTCAATATGTGGTTGTCGCGTTGCACTTCTCAACTATGACCATTCTGCCTGCGGGGAACTTGTTCCACTAGTTTTGGGGTTCCACATTTGTTTTTAATGACAGGCAGGTGGCAAAAAGCCGCCCGACAGCGGCAAGAGCGAGGGGCCAAAAGGAAAAGCTGCTGCAAAGGACCTTCAGCCGGTTTCTGAGAAAAAGCGGGTCTTCTGATTTCGATGCAGGACAGCGGCAAGGCCAAGTCTGCACGTCGTTGAGCAGGCAGATGGCGATTCTTCAAAGTTTGGGAGGCAAAGAAGGCTCCGAAGAAGTCGAATTCGGCTCCGGCTCTGCACTAAGCGAGCTGCACTAAGCAAGCTTAGCAAAAAACCCACCCTTTTTTTGTAGCTCTTTGCCTTTTTTTTTGGACAGGTGGAGATCGATTGGACCCTCGAGGAGACAGCATTCTCTTTGCCACTCACCGGTCAGTAAGGTATAAGGAACACCCAAATTATTCCTGGGATTGCTCCGAAACTCACTCGAAATGTCTGATGTCTGGCGTGCTGGCAGGAGTGGGAGGAGGATCGCCGCCCGGGCGGCGCAAATCAGCTGCTTCGTGTCATGGAAAGCCTGGAGCTAAATGGAAATATTCAGCCTTGCGTTTGGAGTTCAGTCACTGACGAAGTTGAGTAAAATTTCCTTGTAGGGTCTGCCCGAACAAGCAGACCCTCTCTTCAAGGTCTCATGGTGTGTGTGTGTGTGCATGTGTCATGTATGGGAACTTCTTGTGTTAGCCTTTCGCGCCGTCGGCACCCGAAATGGACGCGTAAGTTTGAGAAACCTGGTGGCGACCAGCAGAGTGGCCGAGGGGAGGAGCTGAAACGGGAACGGGGAGAGGGTGTGGAAAAAGGGTTCCTTGGGAGCGACCTTGGGACTTTGACTGGAGGCCCAGGCGAATTCAACTTTAACCCGTAGCAATCTCGATACGCTGGTCCCTCCAAGTAGGGCTGCATCTTCCGAGGCCAGGTGAAGAAGTCCGTGTCAGAGCTGGTGGGGTACTGAGCTTCCGGATTTCAGTCCATCTAGGCCGAGTTCCATGTTACAAATGGGACATGTGCCTTTGGTGGAACACCTGACTGCATTTATCCGACAAGTGGGTGTAGAATTCGCATTCATTTTTGTGTGGTATACGTATCTCTCTCACTCTCTCTCTCTCTCTCTCTCTCTCTTCTACTTATATGCATATATATATATATGCACATCTCTCTGATGGATGCCCGCGGGGCTTGGGCTTAGTCTGCTCACCCTTCACTTGGGTTGGGGATGAACCTGATGCTTGAAGCAGCACCGCGCGCTAGTTGCCTGGCCTTCGTGCAGATGGCAAGACTTCGCTTGGCTAGCACTCTTCCAGCTCTAGCCCCAAGACTACACTTGCAATGAGCTTTCTGAGCTTCCGAAGACTCCCTTTCAAAATTGCAGCAAAGAGTCAGATGCTTCGCCTTTTTGTTATGGGCAAGGACACCTACAGGGAAGTCCGCGCCACGATGGCGCTGCCCTCAGGTTGATCTTGTTGCCTTGTCTCTCATTCTCCTCAATGGGTTGAATCACTGCTACAAGTAAAGAAGGACTAGTTCTGTCTGAGGACAACAACGTCGGGGTCGTGGCAGGGCGGGCGGTGATGTCCGTGGTCCTGGTGTTCTACGCCTTTCGGCTGAAGTCAGGGACCAGAAGCCCACCCTAAGCTCCAAAGCCAGGCGCCGAATGCTTGCATTCCCGGATCAGGCTCTGTACCTGAGCTCCTTGTCCGTGAAGATCCCCACCTTCATCCGGCACTGCGATCAGGTTGCCAGGCCATGGGCGAAAATGCAAAGCTACTAAAATTTAGAAAATATTGTTTGATGAACTAGGGATACCACCCCAATTTTGGAGAACTGAATGGAGAAGACACTTGAAATTGAAATGGGAACTAGGGTTTCATAGGCACACAAGTGGCACACAGGCTATCAAGAATGATAAAGGAGCAGGAAGGAGGATGTGGTGGCTATAAGACAGGCATGTCACACTCCTCCCTAATCGTCAAGACTCCCAACTGCAAAAACAACAATGGCCGTCATCTGTAGTTGTGATTTGGATGCTGTTTTAGGCCCCCTCCAGCGGATGCAGGTCACTGTCCAATCCGCAGGTTGTTTTCATGTCGTGCGTACCTCAGTGCACGTACCCTCTTGAAAGGGTCCTTTGAATCCATAACGCCTCTTGTCCATTTGGCGGTGAGGCGTGACAGGCAGGGGAACAGCTTCATAGTTGATGACTACTTGAAAGGCGGCTGGTGCCACACCCTTTGCCCACTGGCCCTTACCTGCTGCAACGCCAGGTTACCAGTGGATTGATCAAAACACGCCGAAAGATGCGCGAGTGATGGCGTGGTGGGATTATGGCCCAGCCCACAGAATAATGTAACTCTGGCAGTGCGACTCTTGCACGGATTTTGCCTAAGAAAGAATCACGGCTCACAAGGTTACCAGATCACGGGCATTGCAAAGAGGACCTCGATCGCCGACGGTCCGGGTTTCAGAAAATCACTTTGGGAGGGCTCTCGCAGATAAGCACGGACCCCATATTCCGCCTGACGTTTGCAATCCCCGTCTTGAGAATTCCCTGTGTGGAAACCAGTCAGCAGCCAGTTCAGAAAGGCCGCCAGCCTGAGGTTCGAGGCATATCGCAGCAGAGTTCATATTGCTTCCAAGGCAACACTTGGAACCACGAGCACATTGCTACCCTGGGCTGGCGCCCAAGGAACGGTCTCCGGCTAATGTGTTCAAGCTGCGTGTCTCTATAGGACAAAGCCTCTGCCATACCCCCAAGTAGAGGCATCCTCATCCAGGACCTAGGCAGACTTTCCAGCTGAATTGACCTGCACTAGGCCGAACACTGACCAGCAGTGAGAAGAAGGCGCGGGATGAAGCGCTCTTAGTGGTCAGAGCTTGTCCTCGCATAGTCTAACAGTGTCTAACAGCAAAGCTTCAGGTGATTTATTGTCATCACGGTTATCATGCAATTCATGATGGTCGTCAGCGTCAGTGATCCAAAAATTAAGTTGCAAGCTCCAAATCCCGCGGCAGGCCCACAATGCAATCCGTCATCTGGCCGACTACGTCCTGGTCCACTCCTAAGATCGGGACATGTCTTGGGATCCTCTAAAGGTACCCCCAGATGAAGGAAATCTTGCCGAGCTAACTTATCAAAACACAGCACGGAGTTTTGGAGACGCACCTTCCATCCCCAAAAGCCTGAGTTTACACTTGTCTACTTCATAGCAGAAGTCACCTGTCTTTGGAGGTTTGGGCGGGCGGCGGCGGCGATGATCTCGCCAAGTCGCCGCATCTCGCTAGGCCGGTTCCGTAAACCAAATCATCAAGGGACTACTCAAGGACATATTGTGTATGAATCTGTTCTCAACTCTGAAGATGTATTTTACCTAAGACTCTTACTTAAGGTGGTATTCTTGTTCAAAGCCCATACGCTCATGGCTATTATGTCAAAGAAGCAGACTTTGGAGAGCAGTGTAGTCATGATGTATGCAACTTCTTGGATGGTTTCATCCGGGCAACGCAGGATAGGGAATTCCGTCTTTCCAGACCACTGTGGAGACGACGATCCAAAATGCAACAAGTTCAGCTTCTATGCCGCCCTGTCCTTAGCTTACTTCCCTTAATGTTCACTGAAGTGCAGCAGTGCAGGACCACTCACCCACTCCGATGATGGCAAGGTCACCCGTGATGATACTACAAATCTGAGATAAGGGGCTTCTGGAGCGCGTCACCATGTGTCACTGCAGGTCTCTTCTGTACAAACTTTGCCAGCACAACGTGAGCAGGGCCCCAACAGCTTGACAAGTCGCCGCAGACGGAAGCATCCAGAAGCTCAAACCAAAGCTGAAGGTCCCGGCGTCAAGGTGAACGAAAGGCTGTTCAAGGAGGAGCGCCTGGTTGTGCAAAACATGTTGTCCAACCTGGTGCAACCTGGAAGGTTCACACCACGAAGCACGGCCTCATGCGGGTGTACCAAGTCATGAATGTCTCGCAAGAAAGCAAGGATTGGGTTGGCTGCTCAGCGGAACATGCGAAGTTGTTAGGAGACTAGTGTTGGACTGCACGAGACCCGGCTGCAGCGCTGCGGCTCAGCCATGATGAAACCAGCATGTACTTTCCTGTGCGGCAGAAGCGTCCACTGGACACATCCGCACCTGCACCCAACCAGTGCGACCAGGGCCAAGTGCAAACCGCCTTCGTCAAAGCCTACTTCCCTTCTGGGCCACCTGGCTGTGCTGGTGCACCTGCTGCGGCGAGCACCCCACCGTGGGCAGCGCGAGCCGCACCCTCTTCGGCCGCGCCGCTTTGGCTTCGGCTTTCGCGGGGATTTGCGCAACCGGGGTGCGGCCGTGGCACGCATCCCGGTGGCCATCTGTAGCCGCCTGGAAGGTTTGGCGGCTGAGGCCCTTTCAGCCAGCACGGTGGGATCTGGCTTCGTCCGGGCTGGTGGGCTTAACGTGGCATTCCCCGACACGATGTCTTGGCACTGGGCTTGCAATGACCAGGCCTTGAATGCGTTCGCAGATGCTGCGAGGGTTGACACTTGGCTCGTGTTAAGAAAGTGGCTCATCTTGCCACATGGCTGGCAACATGCAAAAACTTATCTTCACTTCTCAGGTTTTGCGGCAGCTGGGGGAAGAGTGGGGCCTGGTGGCCGCTTCATTCGTGGTCGCTGAGGCCCGAACTTGTCTTGTTCATCTCTAGTCTCTGCCGGAAGTTTGCAAGAAAGCTAGAAGCGTACACAAGGCCCCACAGCCCAGCAACTGGCGCCAAGACATAGTCGTAGGTTAGAGCAAGTGCCTGAGAACAGCAAGGCATAGCAAACCTATTTTGGAGGGATTTGCTTCCACGGAGGGCGCGTGCGCCGATGCTGCAGCGCGCTTTCATGTCGACTTTGGACCGCCGCCCATTCCGCGCGGTGCTGCCGCCACAGCACTGATGCCTCTGCATCCCAAGCTCTTCCCGGATGAGGGAAACTTGGACCCTTGGCCAAGCCGGGGAACCCACTTTCAAAGTTGAGTTCTTCAAGCTTGCTACTATAGTTAGCTTCTGTTTCGATCGGATTTGCCCAAGCGACCTCTGTTTCAAGGAAATTCTGCCCTGGGACATGGCCAGCGAGGCCTGCGTCCACAGGTACACACGAGGGCAGGCCATCGTCTTCGATGGTAAGCTGGCGCACCGCACGCAGCCCTTCACAGCTGCTGCCTTTTCCCAGAGTCCCCGAGCTGCAAAGCATGCCATCCCACCCCGAGGGGTTGATTGTGGCATTGTGTTTTGGTTTCTGAGGTGAGGGGCCTGCAGTCTTGCGCGGCCGGCGCATCCTGGCTTCTATGAGCTTCGCGCGGGTGGAAGGTCCTTGGCGGCAGGCCGTAAACCAGGCCAGGCTGGCCAGGTAAAGTGGAGCTTTGATTCTCAAGGCATGTTAAACCGAGCTGCCCTGCCACTGCAGGTGATCAAAGGATACGGGGCGCCGGTGCTGGAGCCCGTGAGACAAAAAAAGCCGAGGGATGAGCTAGTGCAACCAGGGAAGGGCTTTTGACTTCAGTGATAAGTTGGCAAGGTCGCGGACCCAAAGAATCGCATTTGCGATGCGCCAGGCAGCTGGTACTGCGTTGGCCTGGAGCCTCACGTCCTCCTTCCTCGCCTTGTGTAACAAAACCTTGCGCTGAGGTCAGTACCCACCTGCTTTGGAGAAGCTGGGCCCACAGCCCACAGCACACAGATATGGCCATGGTCTTTGCATAGAATGCAGTTGAACATGACACGTAGGCTGATTTCCAAGCGCAAGAACTTCGCACAGATTGAAGACTTCAACCGGCAAGGAGGGAAGAGTGCGCCGGACTCAGCAATGCCATATGGCAAGACTAAAGCAGGACAGGGAGTCTTCATCCAGGATGTTGCTCTTCAGGTCCCTGTGACCGTTTTCAGAACTTTATTTCTTGTATGCTGTTGGCCCCGGTTGAAAGGTGATCGCGGGAAATCTTATGTCAGAAGATGATCAGTTTGGGGTTTGGGCCGACAGGATTTATTTCGGTGCTCTGGGCGGCTGGCAACGACAGAGACGACGAAGACGACAACGCCTAAGCCGCCCGCTGTGATAGTGGGAGGCAAGGGTTTCGATGACGACGACAAAGTCTGAGCCTCCGCTGTGAGAGTTGGAGGCGAGGGCTGGCGACGACAGCGCTTGAGGAGGCATGCCAATTGTTTAAGTTTGCGGCTTACGCCCGAAGGATTTTTTTATTTCAGGCCTCCAGTCCACGTCAACGCCCCATGAGCATTCAACATCGGTGATTCCTTCCGGAGAACTATTTAAGCCGGGAAGTGGTTCTTTGTTTTTGGATTCTTTTTATCTTTTTTGGCCGCGGTCCCTACAGTCCTCTGGTGCCGGGGCTCCCCCGATTCTTCTATCATTGCTTCATATTTTCACAGTTTCTCACCATTTTTCGTAATTTTTGTACTTATTCACGCAATTTCATGATTTTTTCATGTTTCTTCATATTTACTTTTCATTATGTCTCATAAATTCCGATTTTTCATAGTCTCTCATTAGTTTTGAACTTTCCATGTTTTCGTACATGTTCATCCTTGCTCATCACGCTTCACGTGTTTTTATCACTTTTCGATTGTAATTCAGATAATTTGGTTTGCAAATTGGGATTGTGGGTGGGAGGCCACAATTGTTCACAATTTTCACATTTTGTTCATCGGCTCTCACGTTGTTTCACCACTTTCCTGGTGTTTCATCATTTTCATCATATTTTATGATTTCTCCTCATCATACTCATTCATTGTCCATATTTTCCAGCATGTTCATAGTTTCATCCATGTTCATAATTTTTATGGTTTTCATCATTGTTAATATGTTCTCAATTTTGCACATAGTTTTTCATACGGCTTCGGCATCTTTAGTAATTTTGATGTTCTTTTATCATTTGCATCAGCTTTCATCATTTTTCAGAAGCCTTCTGCATTGTTCATCATGTTTGCATGAATTGTCAATAATTTTCTCCAGTTTTCATCACTTTTCATAAGTTTGAATGATTTCTCATTATGAAAACGAGGAGCACTGGAAATTGCCATATTTGTTCTTCAGAAGATTCGAATGTTGGAAACTGCAGGCCCCCCGTCCACCCCCTCCCCCCTCTCACCCCCTCCACTCCCCCCGGTCCACCCCACCCCCAAAAGATCAATCTAGAACAATACCAAAGAATTAAAGGGGCCTTCCTGGGGCCCCCTTTGATATGTATTCTCGATGCCCCTGACGGGCCAGGAATTTATTCGGACAACAATCTTGGGGATAATCCCTTTTGTATGTCCAACCCTTACAAGAGGAAAGAGCTGAGGCATACACCAAGTTGATCGAGAAGGCGTCTGGTCGAGGCCTCTAAGTCGCATTTGCTTGGCCTTCTCTGCGACAGGAGCTTCATGGAGCGTCCAGCAACGAGGATTTGTAGCCGGAGCCTTGGCCCCTTGGCCGGCATTCTTGGCCAGATTCTTCGCAGCAGATATGTTTCTTTGACCAGGATGCAGAGGAGCGACCTCCACATCCCCCAACCATGAAGACGGCGCCACCGGTCCCCAGCGTGCCTTTGCCATCCTTTGACATATACTCGCCGCGGAAGGCCCGGCAGAAAAGGGGAGGCTGGTCCAGGGCACTGCATGTGGGTCGTCGCACAGGAACTGCTCGAGTCTGCTCGGCTCGCTGAAGCTTTCATACGCTTTTTTTGTAGCAACACATACAAACCAGCAGAGCATAGCAGAGCAGAGCAGAGCAGAGCAGCTCAACTCGACTATTTGGCAGTGAGTCCTCCATCCTCCATGCAGTGACCGTGAGTGGCTGTAGTCTGAGCCAGAAGTCCTCGCACCGAAGCAGAGAGAAAACCGTTTGGTGAGCACGCTATGCGAGCAATTTCCGTCCTTCGCCTCGCTTCCAGGCACAGGGCTTTCAAGGGTCTGCCCCTGTGTACATGCGAGCATCACGTGAGTTGGTACCAGTAGCATCATGGCACATCATCGCAAAAAATTGACCCAGGCGAGCGGGTCCGGCGAGTCCGGCGGTTCGAAATGTGGATCTTGGGCTGGTGCGTGCCCCGGAAAGCCGACGGACCAACTCAGGTGTAGCTGGAAAGCAACATTTGTTTGCCTTTTACCAGCAGAAACTTGAGATTAGGTTGTCTTGGTCAGCGTATGCCAGGTTACATGCCTCGTGTGCAGGCAAAGTGATGAATCTATAACATGAGCTGAAACAGAAACAACAGTGGAGTGCCGGCATATACAAGTTTCAGGGAAAACTGACCCATATGAGCGACAGTCAACATTTCCAACCATTAGATCATGTCTCGGGTGGACATGACTTTAGTGGCTGACCCTGAAAACCCTGTAAAACGCAAGGGGAGACAAAGCAAAACGATACCCATGATACAGTGAGATGCGCTGCTTAAGACGTGTCAAGTAGTTATCCTCGTGGAAAAGGCGAAAATGCTGAACAACGATAGGGGAGAGAATCAAAGACGATAACCCCAAGCACATGTCCAGTAGCCAGGTATGGAATTTCGGCCGTAGCTCATATGGCGATGCTGTTTTTGTGGCTCTCAGGCACGTCAAACTCATAGGACAATACGAGATACACGATAGCCGTCAGCCCAATTTTGCAAGGTGTAAGCTTTTTCTCACTCCATCAAGTGGATTGGATAACCTTGAGAATGCAAGATGATTCGACGACTTCCAACTCGCTTAGCCCGCTTGGCGCTCTCGTCCTGGCGGAGCTGGCGCCATTCTTCGGGGGAGAGCCACAATGAGAGCTTTGCATCCTACAGCTGGATTGTGCGTGGCCGGTTGGGCTTGGAGCCCATGCTGCGGGCAGAGCTGGAACGAAACCGGCCGCCATCCTTGAGAGCTGCACTGTCCTCGGAAGATCTGGACCGTCCCGGTGTCTTGGAAGCCCCTGAAGGAGTTGAAGCTGAGGGAGCTGTGGAAATCTTGGGATCCTGGGATGTCTTGTACTGGACTTTGGGATGCCGCCTGGCTCAAAGTGTTTGGGTGCGAGTTGGGGAGCCGCGCGAGTGTGATTTGCTCGAAGATTTGGAAGAGGCAGTGGAGCGGGCACCCTGGGACCACTTCCTTGATAGGCGACAGCCTATCCGCCCTTTGGCCTGGGAGCGCGAGAGCCGTTTGAATGCGGAGGATGTGGAGGCGACCCTCGCAAGAGTGCTGCGAAGGCCGACAGCCACAGGAAGGCCTGCAACCCTGCGGGCTGTGCTACACCAAAACCGCTGCTCACTGGAGCTGCTCTGCGCTGCGCGTCTGGGACTTCGCGAAGTCCAGCGAGCCCATGTGCGACAAGCGAGACTTCCTCCAGAATCTACACGGCCTCCCACCTGGACTTTAGCTTCTGCGGTCAAGCAGGGCCCTGCGGAGCCTGTCGAGTTGTTGACTGTCAAAGCTGAGAGCCAAGAAGCAAAGACAGTGGACGGCACATTTGCAGCCGCGCTTGTGGCGCAGGTTAGGCTGTCTGATGGGATGCTTCTTTGGGATCCTTTCTGCCGTGATGGGCAGGTGTTGTTGGAGCTATTATCCGCGACTTTGCCAGTTCCTCCAATTCTAAACGCTGAAAAGCTGCCCTGTGCGAAGCTGCGACCGCACAGGCCACGTGCTGTGACTTCTGCAGAGAGAAGCCTTGCTGGTCTGACTCTTGTGGGTTCAGACCGAAGTTCGACAGCCATCCAGGAAGCACGGAAACGATTGCTCCAGTTCTGTGATTTCTACAAGGATCACCTGCCTGCCCAGTCAGCAATGCCTGCAAGGTCTATGCTGGAAGACGCGGCCAAAGAGGCCTCAGAGCCTGTGCTGCCAAAGTTGCTGCAGGGCCCAGTCATTCTGGATGACCAGAGTCAGGACACTTCAAGAGCCCCAAAGCCACAGAAAGGCCGAAGGGCAAAGGGGAAGGGTGCGAAGATGATGAAAGTGGCAGCTGAAGTCAGTGAAGTTTCATCCGTCACCGAGCCAACCCGGAAATCCATCAAGATGCCAGACGTGCTAACATCTGAAGATGCAGTGACATTTTCTTCCACAGAGCATGGACTAAGTCTTCCCAGCGAGGTGTCCCTGAATGTGGCCTCATTTGAGACCATAGCTCCATACTTGCGTGGTGCTGTTATTGTCACGCGCATGCCCTCAGAAGGCCGTGGCTTGGGTCCTACAGCGCGGATGACGTTACTTTATCGGCGCTTTGGTCACTTCCTGGCTGCCCGTCGTGATTTCTTGGGCGCCTACGTGCTCTGCGACTCGCGGGTCTTCAGGCGCCAGTCCGGCCTTGCCTGGCAGGTTCTCAGCCGGTTCCGAGGCGCCAGTGGTCGGCGCTGGCAGCTGCTCCATTGGTCTCCCGGCCTCCCAGTGCGAACGAAAGGAAGCATTGCAAGCGCAGCAAGCGGGCAAAGCTGGGGCAACGAAGAGGAGCCGCGGCGCCGCCGGCAGCGCTGGGAGCGAGCGCCCCGGCGAGGGCAGCGGAGGCCGCGCTTCCGTCACGACCACGATCACAACACGTGAGACGAGAGAAGACAAAAAGAGCACAAGTTCCCATCCAACTTTTGGGAGTCTGGCACCGGAGTTCTTGTGATCTCGTGAAAACAGTAAGCAGCCTTTCCCAGTGAATCAAGGTATTTCGTAGCCCTTTGAAGATCCCAGGCACAGTCGCCGCCCACTCGCAGCGCGCCCTCGAAGCCTCCACGGAGGCAAGCCAGGCTGCGCATGTCACCGGGCCTTTTGCCCATCACAGTAGGGGTCGGATGCGGTCAAATGAAATCTAGGGGCTCAACCTTAAATTTCATGTTCATCATTTCCTCAGCCAGAAATTTGTTTCCCTGTGGCTGTTTCAGGATTTTATTTCGAGCATGTTGTTGGGTCCGATAGAAGGTGAACGTAGGAAATCTGTTGTCAGTAGATGGTCCTGAGGCCCTAACCTCTTGATTTGTATTCTCGATTGCCCCTCATACCCCCCAGGAGTTTATCCGGATAACCTCCGATGTATGCCCAATCCCTATATTCAAAGCTCCCACGAACAGTCAATTTCTCGTCTGTTGACTCTTGTACGGTATGGGTGGATCTCCATCATGATGACCAGGAAGCTTGACGTTATGGACCCCTGCCACATTTGTGCAAGTTTCTTTTGTCTTTGCAGGCTAGGAAAGAAGTCGGTGGACTTCCCTGTGCGTAGCTCAGCTTTTTGGAAGGCGACTTTACATCAAATTTGTCAGCTTTCAGACACAGCTGAGGGTTCGGTAAGCTTCTTAGAGGACTTGATGTACTTCCTGGCACGCCTTCGCTCTGTCACTGATGCAGCGCGACAAGAACAGCCATAGCTGAACCTGATGTCCCAAACTGCATGGCCCGAACAGTGATTGCCAATCACAAAAACAATGCAAGATTTTTTTGAGTGTGCCGATCTCATAAATTCTGAGTGAAGGTGAAGTTGGATGTACATGGTGGGGTGTCTCCCGCTCAGGTCTTGCATGTTCCAGCAGAAGATATCGTGCTAGTTTTAGTCAAAGCTCTTTGATAGTTGTAGCGGGGCTCATGGCGCCTCAGTGAACGAAGGTCACCGTTCAGTTGAGTCATGCATTTCAGATGCTTCAAAGGCCAATTCACCTGTACACGGATGACATCGACCACAAGACGGAGCAACAGCTCAGGAACCTTTCCCGTCCTCCGGCAAGTGCATCCTTGGCCACCCGTTTCTGTCCCGAAGCTCTCCTGCCAGGGGCTGGCATTGCTGTTGGTTATGTGGCCGCCATGTGTCAGCCCCAGAGCTGTGCTGGCAAAGCACCATGACATGAAGCAACCTTCCTCAGAGTCAGTCGCAGCTGGTGAGACTACTCGGGAGCCCGTGCTTGCTAGGGTACGAACTTGTCGGAGGCCAGATGTCCATCTCGGCAAGGGCGCGACCATCGGCTCAGTCTTTGCATCCCGGGACTACGTCTGCCCCAATGCAGCTGCATCCTAAGATGTGAAATGCCCCAACTTCTAAGGAATTGCATGCAGGAAAATAGGGACTTATTTCCGGCATTTTCACGCAAAGGAACTTTCTGCGTTCCGGTCTTGACCAAGGTAGGTGTGGACATTGGCTGTGGAATGTGCCAGCACCTCAAGGCATTGCTTGGCTTGAAAGCCCAATGCTCCTTTCTGCAGGTGCAGTGCCCGTGCGGGCACTCAGGCTTATGGGTCATTGGGGAAAACAGGTTTCACGTCTTTCAAAGTCTTTGCTGATCATGGAGCAGCCACTCAAGGTTGCTGGCCCACTGCTTCGAAAGGCCCTTTCTGCATTCGCTTTCCCACATGGCTTGCGACCAGATGTCAGGACCTGTCGGAAAAGGAACTTCTGGCAATTCAACGTGGACTCCGGCACGCCCCCCGATTGGGAGTGTTGTTTTGCACGAGTCCATGAATTTGTCAGAGTCAG